ATTCTGGGAGTTGAAGTCCACTCATCTTAAAGTGGCCAAGTTTGGACAACACTGCCATAGCTCCTCTTTAACATTTGTCTCGAGCCCTGAATGATCTTGCACCTCAATTCCTTTAACCCGTTTCACTTTCTTCGGATAGAAGCTTCTCCGAACTGTACCAGAAATCCCTGCAGGAGAAACGGAGGAGTGAGCCTCCAGTCAGCGATGCAGAACTGAGCCGGCCAGGAAGCGAAGTGGTGTTCAAACCGGCCACGCTCCAGCTCCTCCATTCCCTGTCCCTGCAGGATGGGGCTCCTCACAACTTGGCCGAAGAGCGAACTGAGTTCTTGCGGAGTCACAACGACCAAACCCCAGCACCTTCCAACGCGTAAGGAACCCCAAAGCTTTAGCCACAACTCACGCGCCCCAACATCTCATCCCCCCCAAGAGTTCCTGGGCCCTTCCACCTCTATTCTCCTCTCTTCTGCTCAGTTGTCTTGCAGTATTCCTTGGGTCAAAACCATCTTTCTTGTGGCCTACTGCCCAGGTGATTTAACTGTGGGTGGGGAGGATTTGAACTCAGCTCCTTTGGCACACAAAACAAGGGCTCTCCCGCCAAGCAGAGAGAAGTTGTGTGAAAAGTTTAATTTTTACAGGAGGAGACTGTGGGGTTGCTAGGAACATCGGAGATCATCTTAATAAGTACTTGGATTTCAGCTACTGGCTGGATTTGAGAAGAGCTAAGAGATGGGCTTGGTTAGAACTCAGGTGGGAGATTTTCAGGGAATCCCAGGACTCGACTGAGTCATCAAAAAGAAAATGAATATAATGTATTAAACAAGAAGGAATTTCAGCCTAGTTTTTCCTGTGGCGCTGTATTCTTTTCTCCCACTTTATGTAGCGATGCAGTAGAATAGATGAAACGTTTGTTCTGTTTTTGGGGGGGGGAATGTGTTTTCAAATATACCTATTTTACCTCTTCTAAAGCAGAACAGACACCTGAAATCTGCCATTTGTGCCAAATCTCAGTCATGCAAAGCAGGGAAGGAACTTTCTGTTGTAACATTTGCAGGTTCCTGTGTGTCAGAGGTTTGTAATCCTGACTCAGTTGGTTCCTTCTCAAACTTGGATTTAAAAAAAACCCTTATTCCTTCCTCCATAACCAAAATTTCTGGTCTTCACAGGATTCCACCCAAAAGTTTCTCCGTTACGTCCAACCCTCCTCCAGATATAATCTTGGCAACCACTCCCAAAGCCCTCCCAGATCGAGATGTGGTAAGTGGTTCATAAAGTCAGATGCCCTAGAATGGCGATGGTGAGCCTGTGACATGCGTGTCAGAGGTGACACACCACGATGGTTTGGGTGACACGTCAGCGTTCACCAACACCCGACGACAACTATTCTTCCTGTTTGAGTTACTAAAGTAACTGAATTTGTTTTACTCGTATTTCATTTTTGTAATTATTTGACGTTTCTTTACATAATACATAGCACCACACATGACTGGACTGTATTTTTTTTAAATAAATGAAAATGCTGATGGGCAATTTGTACTGTCACAAAATGTTGATATACAGGTGCTGGAGTGGAAGGGAGGTTTGGGAAATTTAAATCTACTTTACTGTGGTGTTCTTTTAACATTGTGTTTGGCACCATAAATACAGCCCTAGCCACAATGAGAATTGTCTACATGGTGTTCACCAAAGAGAGGTTGGATAGATTTTTGCCCCATTTGGTATGTGATCTTCCCCCCGAAAAAGATATTGGGAA